CAGAGTGGTGTTTCTTTAGCTAACTTTGTACACGTAGTTGAGTACGTAATTGTTAGAGTGGTGTTTCTTTAGCTAACTTTGTACACGTAGTTGAGTACGTAATTGTTAGAGTGGTGTTTCTTTAGCTAACTTTGTACACGTAGTTGAGTACGTAATTGTTAGAGTGGTGTTTCTTTAGCTAACTTTGTACACGTAGTTGATTGTTTAACTATGTATGGTGCAGTTTATATATAGATAGATAGATAGTAATCCCTTTCTTTCTAAATAATCTATCATCCTAAAGCTTTCTAAAAAATAATCGAACACCCATTTCTATCTCTATTGGTTATAAATGCTTTTATTTCACAAGTGACTTTCTGATTGCTTTTTTGTTTAGATACAAGTTTAAAGCTAGGCCAGTCAACCACAAGATCTTTACACAACCGATGACGGGTATAAGTAAAGTGGAGACCAAACAGTCCACCAGACCCGAGGGCTTCCAGTTAAAGACAGAAGTACGTTATCACTTGAGAGAGAGAAATCAAGCGAGCACCGAGGAGCCAAAATACGAGTTTCATGCCCAACCCCTACCAAAGAAAATACTGGAAGGACCTAGAGTAGGTTTCTATACTTTCTAATTCTAAGATGACAGGTTTGTAAGATGGTTTAACTTAATTTGTTGGTAATTTCAATAATCAACCAAAACAAATTACACACTAGAAACCCGGGAGAGACAGATAAAAGGTTAGAACTGACTTTTTTTTCTCTCTCTCTTCTTTACACTGTTGTTGTTGTTGTTGTTTTAATATATATATATATAAACTCTCAAGAGATAATTTGTTTCACCAGTTTATGTTTATCACTTTGTCTGGGAAAACTATTAATAAGTTTTCAAGTGAATTCTTTCCACGTATTGTTAATTTGTTTTTTCATGTTAGGCTTGCATGGTTTTTTATAACAAGTGTGTGCATTGGGCTATAATGTGTGAAAAACACTAGGTATTATTACACACATGGGTAGTTCTTAAAAGCTGGTGTATTAGTCATAAAAATAAAATATATTTTACACTGCAGGGACTGAAAGAAAAAGAACACCTTCCTCTAACCCATCCCAAGTCTCCAGCATTTGCTTTGAAAGGAAGAGTTCTTCTGTGGAAGAAGGATGAAGACTTGACTGAAGAGGTTGGTTAGTCATTTCTAAAAACCAACTTGGAGTCCACAAATAGTCAATTGCGAGTACATACAATATTTCAGTACACATGTTATTTGTATAACTATTTATGTATTTAAAAGAAAAATAAAACTTTCTGGAAAATCGAGCCAAAACATATTATTTTCCAGGTCTGAAGAATTAACTCGGGACATGCAAAGATACCACTGAAAGAAAAAAAAAACAATTTTTTTGGAGTCTAATATGAAACGTACGTTCAAACTTGTTTGTGTGTTTAACATGTGAATAAAACACTTAAGTTTTCTACACTCCCTATACAGTTAATCAAGCTGTTTAGAACATGGATTTGTCCTGTGCAATACTACAACATATTATCAATCTTTGACCTGTGAGTGTGTTATGAGAGTGACAGTCAATCCCCCCTAATGTGGGTGATAGGTTGCTGCCGACAAGCTGTCTTTTCTCTGATCAATTGTTCAAAGTTAGATAGCTTTGTATTGAAGTTATTTTTTGTTACAGGAAGAAAAACTTGTCCATGGCTGTAATCAAGGCTATTTAAATAGCTTTACCATAAAATACAAAATGTTTCGTATTGAAGTTACTTCTTGTTACAGGAACAAAACTTGTCCATGGCTGTAATCAAGGCTATTTAAATAGCTTTACCATAAAATACAAAATGTTTCGTATTGAAGTTATTTCTTGTTACAGGAAGAAAACCTGTCCACGGCTGTAATCAAGGCTAATCCAGTAAAGTTATTTCTTGTTACAGGAAGAAAACCTGTCCACGGCTGTAATCAAGGCTAATCCAGTAAAGTTATTTCTTGTTACAGGAAGAAAACCTGTCCACGGCTGTAATCAAGGCTAATCCAGTAAAGTTATTTCTTGTTACAGGAAGAAAACCTGTCCATGGCTGTAATCAAGGCTAATCCAGTACCACATTCTGGTATCCCTTTCCGGCCAAAGCTGCAGAAAAAGGTCACTCAGAGTGAACCTTTCAGCTTCCACAATAAAGACAAGGAAAGATGGGCCCTCAAAGAAGAACGAATCAAAGAGGAGTTGGAAAAGGAAAGAAAGGTTATTTGAAACATCACAAGTTTCATTTTTATATTCTAATAGAGTCCTCTGGTGTTATTCTTGTAATGTACCCAGATTTATGGTGTGTGCTAATCATTGTCGATTACTCTTTAAATGAAATCCAGGACTTATTTAATACATTTTTGGATTAGCTCGTAACTTGTTTAGAAACGGAAAAGAATGTATTAACTTCTTTTTTTTAACTGTTGTACAGATGCGGAATTTCAGAGCACAGCCGTTGCCATCTCCTTCCCAATCAGGATTACCATCTTTTCCAAAGAAATCTCTCACTAAACCCGAGCCATTTCAGCTGTCAACAGATTATCGTGGTAGTGACCAGGCTGCAAGATTGCAAAGAGAGGTGAAAATCAATCTAGAAACTTGTGTAATATATAAAACGTGGATTCACCATGTACTTGAGTAAATAACTTGTACATACTCTCCGAGTTTGTTTAACTTGCTTCAGGAAGGCTTTTGTATGTTAGTATAAAAGAGGTTAACTATTAAGTAAATTTTGTGGGAATTCTTTTATAGAATAATTAAAAAGGGGGACTGTTTTTTTTTTTGTAAGCTGTTTTAGTATCTGAATATTATCTTGTCGAATTCTAGAAAGAAGAAGAAGAAGAACGTCAAAGAGAAGCTGCAGTTTTTAAAGCTAGGCCTGCAGCTGTTCTCTATAAGGAACCTTTTATTCCAGCTAAAGCACAGAAGTCATTAACAGGTGAATTTTTAAATGAACCTTGATTGTGTTTGTGTGAATTACTAGTTTGTTCTTAAATGTTTACATTGGAATCTGTTTTGTTCTTAACGTTTTTAAAAAATCCATAGTTATTAAGTAAAGTTATTATGTGTTAAAAAAGAACTTTGTAATTAAAAATTGGTTCACTGGATGTAACTGCTTTGTATATGTCAAATAAATATGATACTAGTGTTGACATGGTAATTAAGAAACACTTTAATTTTGACACAAATAAAGCAACAGTTGCCAGAAAGTGTAAGAGGGGGTCCATAAACATGACTTCATCCAGCTTGGAAATTAAGAAATGTTTAATTTAATACAGGTCTTTAATTCCACTGAAACACTAGCTTGTGAAAAGGTTTAACACGTACACTACATAGTGGGATCTCTATGTCCGAGTATACAACGTTATACTGCTATTAATTAATATCGTTAAGTTCTGTTGAAATAACTGATCCTGACAATGGAGTTGGAGTAGAAACTTTGTTAACTGAAGTCTCATCACTTAATTTATCACTTCTAGAGTTTGAAGATTTAAACTTACATACGGAACAAAGAGCTACTGAGAGAGAGAAGTTTGAGATGTGGAAACAACAGAGGGAGGAAGAACTCGCTGCAGAACTGCAGAGAAGGAAAGAACAAGAGGAGGAAGAAGAACGAGCACGCGTAGCCCAGATGCGCATTGAGGCAGTCCACAAAGCTCAGCCTGTGAAGCACTTCAAGCCTGTTCTTATTAAGCCGAGTGACAAGACACTAACTAATCCCGAATCGCCTGTCTTTGCAACGAGGCTGCGTGTTCGTAATAACGTCTCTTACTGAACAACAAATATGGTCTTGTTTCATAAGTAATATTAATGTCCAATTAAAGCTTTTAATAATCCTACCCTAACTCTTGTAAATATTGATATTTTTACTGTAAAAGTATCAAATAAGCAGTCTTATGATTATGGATTGAGAGGTGTATTAGAACCTGTGTTACTATACAAGCTTCTATGAAACGTATTTCTTGTATAATATTTAGTTTTCCTTATTGTTTGTAATAGAGGGATTTTTTTATGTTTGTGTTCTTGACTCTGTCCAACCTAAAGATTTTTATTTAACATCATACGAAGTTTGAGGTGATAATTTCTTAGCGAGACCTTTCACACCAAAGGACAGGTAAACAAGTGTAATGACGTATCAACTTGAACAGGTTTAAGTTACTTTTAGCATATGATAACTAGTTTTTCTGTGATGTTTTGTATTTCTTCAAGTAATAAAAGTTCTGCTCAGTCTACGATTTTATATTATACTTCTTCTAGTAAAGAAACAGTATTAATAGTTGATAACTTGGTGTTCGTGTCACCACATCTAGTCTGAACGACAATGTGATAATAAGATCTCTTTAGGGAGCATTCTAAAAATACTTTCACAACATTTTATTGTCTGAAGATAATGATCTTGTGCTGCCCCTCCCCCCTCCTTGTTTACAACAAATGCACATCTCTTCACTGTAAAAATCAATTTATTACAAAACTTATTAAATGATATGCATAATTGTCTACAAATGTACAATTATAAAGAAAAAACTATACATTCTTTATTACTGTTAAATGCTGCAAGTCATGAATAGTATATACTTGTTCTTTTTTACAGTTATGGGAGGCTGGTAGTTTGGAAACATTAAGGAAAAGCTAATGTGAAATCAAGGCAGCTTTACACTAAATCATCCTAAAAACATTATTAACAATACTGTTACAATTTATGGATTTAATATTTTACTGGCATGATGAAATTTCATATTACTCTCATGTCTCGGTAACATCAGTCAATAAAATTTATGTTGAGACATTTCTTCCACTATAGATACTGTTTTTATGTACGGTCTGTCTAGCTCAAGTCACGTTGTTCAATACCAGAACTTGTCAGCTTAGTCAGATACGATACTTTAATACCATCAGTCAATAAAAGAAGACTTGTACAATAAAATTCATGTTGAGACATTTCTTCCACTATAGATACTGTTTTTATGTACGGTCTGTCTAGCTCAAGTCACGTTGTTCAATACCAGAACTTGTCAGCTTAGTCAGATACGATATTTTACTACCATCTGTCTAACATGAATATTAACCCTATTTGTTCTACACTTCACCGTAGCATTAAATTTCTTATTGGAAATTAATCATATTGTTATTCTGCATAGATGTGATAAACAGTGAGTTACAGCTTCTGCTCTATACACTTGTTGCCAGGGGGGTTCTCTTCTGGTGATTGATAACTAACTTAGGTACCATACGGTTGGAATAATACACAGTGATCACTATCCTGGCAGGTACATGTTGTGTCCGTGAGTGTATAAAGTTCTCGTTAGTTAATGGGTTCCTTGGTAAGGAATGTTATACGACGGGGGAGAACAAACTATTCGTAAGTGATTGTTGAATATACCATAATCCAGGTTACCTGCAAATAAAGAACATAACACTTATGTTAAAATGTGCAAAATTATATGTTATTCGTTAAAAGTAAATAAGAACTTAGATTATCAAAGAAAGTATATTTATTTCACATGAATAAAATTAAAACTTCGTTAAACGTGCACGGAAAATTGGACCACCCAAACAGATGGTTTATAATTAATACTCAAACACATTTAATTATATATATTAATTTTACAAGATGTTGAACCATGGTATTGTTGTTTTTATTTTTTAACACAAAAAACTGAAATGATCTAATAATTTAAATCATTAAAGTGATATTAATAATACTTGAATATGAGAAAAACATTTGCCCCCTAAGTGTATTCAAATATTGAACAACCCTCTACTGCTGTACACATTTAATTGATATCAGCCGATGTTATGTCACTTACTAGAAAACCAGCAAAAGAAGTCATGAACCCTTCTTTCACCAACTCCCAAAGTCCTCCGAACTCTTCCTCGTCCACTTTATGAAATATACTAGTGTAAATGTAGACAATGAGGGCATTTATCAAACAGAACCTGAAAACAACAAAATAATACTATAACTCAGTTAAGTACATCCATGGATCTTTTAGTTAGAACTTATCACATTTCTGTAAAGTCTTCATCACACACAAAACCAGATCTTCTTAAACTGTTAATCACTTAATATAGGGTTTCATGCTAGCTGAGCTATTAGTAAAATACAGGGTGTTCCAAAATTATCTTTCTTGTTTTAAAATTGTAGCCAAACTCAAAACATTTTTTATTGACATATCACAAAACTTCTACATGTGCACCATTAGTGGCTCTGAGCACATCTAACTGATATTTGATTTCAGTTCCTGTTCACTAAAACAGTTTACAGTGGTGATGGCTTCTGTTATCCTGGTCTATAGGTGTGAGATACATGATATCCTTAACATACCCCCATACTGATATCTGTAATCATGATGCACCACAGTCACTGACTTGGTCTGTGCAAGCCAAACAACATATTGAGCCTTTTCTTGCATGGTTGCCATTTTACAGAACAACAATACTCACTGGAGTGAAAAAAAACATTACATTAAAAACAGTTAGGCTAGAAGATGTTTGAACTGCATGGTTTTATTTATTTATTAAAGAGGAAAAATAATCTTGGGCCATCCTCAATTATGTGAAAACTGTTCTTTAATACCCAAATACTTTTCTTAACTCCAAGCTCGTAGGTATAAATCAATCAACAAATTCAGTTAAATCATATAAAAATACATTAACACGAGAACTGTTCTTTAATTAAAGCCAAGACACATCTTATATATCTAAGTGTAGGTGTAAATCAACAAATTCAGTTAAATCATATAAAAATACATTAACACGAGAACTGTTCTTTAATTAAAGCCAAGACACATTTTATATCTAAGTGTAGGTGTAAATCAA